ACCTGGATGCTACGCACTATTTACAAATGGGGCACATATTTATGTACTTAATAAACCAGTGGTGGCAAAAGAAGCTAGAAATAGGCATTTCAAAACAATCATTGAGTACGTTCATAAAAAATTAAGCCTTAATGGAGATTTTAGTGACTTAGGCAACCACATGAAACAAGTTTGGCACCAAGTCTCACTCCTCAAACTCTTTCAAACAGACTTGCAATTACTGGTGACAAAGCTACGTGTAGATCAAATGTCAAAGCTGAATAATATAATAGCTCCACAGTGTACCAGTGAATCCACTATAGTTAAAATTTATGCAGTTTTCAATATAGAGGAAAGGAGACTGGTATCTACCACCAGCAACAGAAAAGGTGCTTTCTTTTGAAAGGTGCACGGAGCCCAGATAAGATTACAGTCACAACACGATTGAGTAATTTGTAGAAAGGTGCTACAAAATTTATCATTGACTAGGAGGATGAGGAATCCGCCAACCATCTCTCTTCAACTCTCAGCACTTCTCCACATCATCTAACCAATTTAAGAAAGTCTACAATTGGTACATTTTTACTGCAGTAGTGTATATCCTTTTCTTCTGAAAATAGGAAGTTTATTCATAGTATAAAAATTTGCAACAAACCAGATTACCTGCCTCCTACACCAATGCCACATATTAAACCAAGGACTGTCACTCATGAGGCAACTAACATTGCTCAAATGATGAAACAAGAAGTTGAAAAGAACCTGACAATATCCTAGGTTTGAAAGTAATGCTAACATATTTTGTAGATGATATTAATTTGAATATAGAAGCCACTGGGGTCTGGCAAAGAAATTGAGGAATTCAAGTATTAAGGTTCATGTGATGATTTAGGCATTGGCAATGCCAAGATTTGGTATGGCATCCTGGACTGCAAGATAAGGACAAATGCATCCGGAGTGGTTTTTAAACATTTACTTGACTGATTCCATTTTACTGAATAGCTAGTTATAATAGTTAGTCTGTTATAAGGCATTTTGTAGATGGTATTCACTTCAATAGAAACTACTCTAGTCTGGGGAAAGAAGCAGGAATTTCAAGTACTGAGTTTCATTGGTGATGCCGAGATTTGGTACAGTATCCCAGAGAGCAACTTTATAATTTCATTAAAATCCAAACTTGCTCAGAATAAGCTCAAACTTTCTACACAACATAAGAAAATGCATACGTATCAGGATAA